TAGCTACCTTCCCCTACACTATATAATTGTTACGTTATAATGGGTCTTCTAAAAGGTTATAAACCCAGACAGAATTGGAGACCTATTACTCTTCTGAACATAACTTAGAAATTAGCATCTGCATGTATTGCAAATAGATTGAAATCAGATTTAGACTCTGGAATTTCTAAAACAACTTATTGTTATTGATTTTGAAAAGGCTTTCGACTCTGTGTCTTTCAAATGTATTAAGATTTTTCAATTTTGGAAATAGTATATAGAAATTGGTACAGGTTTTTAATACAAATACTTTCTCGGCTATCAGAATGTTTTTTTATCGAACTTTGTAGACATAAAAAGGGGCTTTAGACAATCGTTGAACAATTTATTTTACAATTTTATCTGACAATCACCAATTGATAGAATACAACGCTCAACAATTGTTCAAGGCTATAGTGAGGGTGGATTCAAAATGATTGATTTAGAAAACTTTATGTATGGACTTAAAACTACATGTACATGGATTAGGAGAATACTTCTTTCTGAAGACAATGAATGGCTAAACTTGTTTGGGGAAATGTTTAAACCTAAAAGAACACAGGATGAATAGGAATTAAACACGTTTAAAGTATTCATACAGAAAATCAGTTTTGAAAAGATGTTTTTGAAGCATGGACCAAAGTGGCAGAAATGACAAATATTAAAAATTTTGATGACCTTTTAAAATCGCCAATATGGTTCAATAAAAAAATTAAGATTAATAATGACCACTTTTTCTATAATGAATGGTATTTACAAAATGTAGTATATATTGGAGATATAATACAAATGAATGGGGATTTTTTAAGCTACACAGATTTTAAAGAAAAGTATAATGTTACCACTGGAAATTTCTACAATACAGAATCATTTGCATATCAACTGAATCATCTATGAGAGATAATGATATAAGATCAAATAATTCATTCATTGAAAGACCATTTATACCCTTTCACATCAATGTAATATTAAGAAGTAAAAAAGGAAGTAGAGATATGTACAACACCCTCATTAATAGAAGAAACCTTACTAATACAGCAAAAATAAAATGGCTATCTAACGAACTTTTCTCCATTGTCATCTGGAGATCTAGTTTCTCTCTCCTTTACAAAATAACAAGAGACATTAGCGTTCAATGGTTCACTTTCAGGCTTCTTTCAAGAATACTTCCACTTAATCATTATTTGAAAATAATTGAAATCAAACAATGTGATTTATGTAATTTTTGCCAAGAAAGCAAAGAAACGATAGAACATTTTTTTTATCAGTGTCAAATAACTTCTGGCAGGACATACGTTGATGGATATACTTAAAAAAACTTACTAAACATTCGAAATAAAGGAAGATATTATACTTTTAGGCAAAACTTCTGAATTCCAAAACTCCATTCCAACTAATGTCATCATGATTCATGCAAAATTCTTCATCTACTTCAGCTCCAGAAAGAAAAGAAACCCTAGTATGACTGAATTTGAAAAAATATTTATTTAATGTACATGAGATTGACAAGGTAATCATCCAAGGGAGGGGTGAAATTGAGACCTTTGAAAGCCTATACTTTCTTATTTTAAATCCTCTATGGGTAAAGAAATTAATAAACCTAGCTGTGTCCCGAAAATACTCAAGAACTATATAATATATATAACAACAATTAGGTATATATTTACATATCTTATTGAATATTCTAAATTATATATGTATATACATAGGTATATGATATTCTATATGCAAAATGCCGTGAGATGAAACTGATGATTGACCTATAATCTTATAACATTAAAAAGAAATCACATGAAATATAGCTATATGTATACTTGTTTATGTTTTTGTTTGTTTGTGTATGTTTATGTACATGTATGTACGGATGGATATACTTGCACAATCTTAGGCATGTGTATATGTGTATATGTGTGCATATCTGGGTGTATGCATGCATATGTGTATATATGATTGTACATGCATATATGTATGTGTGCATACATGTATGCATGTATTGCTGTGTTTGCATGTATGGTATGTATATATGTATGCATTATCGATTTACACATGTATATATATGTTCTGATGACTCCCCTTGTAATAATGCTGTGTAGTAATGAAACAGTTTAGATATCAAAAGTGACACATACTGAAGTATCCATTTTGGTTTGCATTATTGCATACACTACATGCATTGATTTGTGTTATGTTTATGCATGCATGTAGGAATGTGTGTATGTTTACAATATTTTCAAGTCATGTATGTGTTCAGTATACATATGTATGTATGTATGTATGTATGTATGTGTATGTATGTATTTATGCATGTATTATATACGTACGTATGTAAGCTATGTATATGTGTGTGTGTTTGTGTATATGCATGTTTCTGTCTGAATATTATTTTTACTACGAATCATATCAGTCAAATCAGATACTGTGTACCCTATACCAAATCAGATACTGTGTACCATATACCAAATCAGATACTGTGTACCATATACCAAATCAGATACGGTGTACCATATACCAAATCAGATACGGTGTACCATATACCAAATCAGATACGGTGTACCATATACCAAATCAGATACGGTGTACCATATACCAAATCAGATACGGTGTACCATATACCAAATCAGATACGGTGTACCATATACCAAATCAGATACGGTGTACCATATACCAAATCAGATACGGTGTACCATATACCAAATCAGATACGGTGTACCATATACCAAATCAGATACGGTGTACCATATACCAAATCAGATACGGTGTACCGTATACCAAATCAGATACTGTGTACCATATACCATATCAGATACTGTGTACCATATACCAAATCAGAAACGGTGTACCATATACCAAATCAGATATTGTGTACCATATACCAAATCAGATACGGTGTACCATATACCAGATCAGATACGGTGTACCATATACCAAATCAGATACGGTGTACCCTATACCATATCAGATACTGTGTACCATATACCATATCAGATACTGTGTACCATATACCAAATCAGATAAGGTGTACCATATACCAAGCCTGCGAAAAGCAGAGATTTACGATCTATAAACGCAGGTATAAACGATGGATGCAGATAGTTATTCGTTATGTAGAGAACAACATATAACTCCCTTGTTCTTTAAGCAAGGGAAACCGTTTCCAAAACATCAACGATGTTTATTGTAACAGTGATTACTTCAAGATGATGTAATATTTGATCGAGTTTTACTTAAAATTGGAACCCGGTTCGATTCAAACGTCTATTGGAACATCTGGTTCTCCTGTGATACCATTACCAGACCGCAGTGTCATCGTTACGTCGACCAGGTCAGGATTATAGATAGCAAACGCTGGCCAGAGAGGCTTACTGGTGTCAACATTTCGAAATCTGAAGATACACTTTCTTGACTTTGCGTCAATCAGGAACCACTGCTGACGTTCCGTATCGAGCAGAAATCCGTAGATTGCTTTGAAGGTTGTGCCAGGACTTTTCCCGTCTGTCATGGGAGTGTGAAACAATTTCGAATTGTTATGCCAAGCCTGGAGACAGATGGATTCGCAGATGGAGCATCGTCGAGCACAGAAAACCCAAGCATCTGGATGGCAGTCGACCGTGTAATGCTTGTCGATGTGCGCTTTCCTTGACAGACCTATCTCAAACATGAGTTCTTGACGAAGCTGTCTCTTGATGAACAAGTGTATCTGTACTTCGAAGTAGTGCTGTCCTGTTTTACCGAGTGGACGGGTGCTGATGGTTCCGCGGTAGTTCACGAAAGCGTGGTCTGCTACCCTAGACGAAGGTCCACAAGATTTTTTGTTTGTCAGTCGCTGGTTATTCTTTGAAACTGTGTTTTGTAAATTGCATCTGGAACTGTCGAAGTCGATGTTTGGAACTGGAAGACAAAAGAAATTTAATAGTAAACGTTTCAATTATAAAATGACCAAGATGCAGTTCATATAGAGCTAAATTCTCAGTGTAAATCGATTTTTGCGACACCATGTATCGAGACTTTTACCTAATAGACGAACAATTCTAGAAAGAATGCTGACAAATATATCAGAATTGCTTAAATATGCATGATTTATACGTAATTTCATTAACTCTCTGTTCGTAAATTTCCACACAAAATAAACAAAACAACAAACACGAACATAAAGAAGTGAAGAAGAACAATGGAAGCTCAATTAAACAACAACAAATATATCTGCAAAAAGCTTAGACACAATTACATTTCAGACGCAGCTAATTTTTTTAGAATAGTAGCTACTTTTCATCTTGTCAGATGCTCTTTATTGCATATTATTTCATTTCATATACCAACACTTCTAATACATTCCCCAAAGGTAGTTTCGAGTAAGGTTATATCTGAATGTTCAAAGTTCACGTTAAAACCTCAGTCACATTTGCACCGATTTCCGAAAAGGCGCCCGGGCGTTGAGTTTTTTGGCCGAAATCGGCCGGCAAGCCGGGGAACCGTAGGGCACCGGGAGATTATCGGCCACTATAGCTATATTTAATCAACCTGTTTTATTACAAAGAAGAAATATATTTGATAAAAAGTGCTAAAATTCCTGATTGTTGATTGTTTAATCTTCCCTAAAGGAAATATAGTATAAAATAAACCTAATTTGAAACAATTCCAAAGGATTGATGTAAATGAAGTATGAACGCGTAGCCCAATATTGCTATATACAGATGTATTAATATGTTCAAACACATGCATCACTATAACTAACTTACAGATCAGTTCCGGGTCTTTTTGAGACATCGCCCTCTCGGAAATCCAACTTTCTTTTTCGCCTGTTGATCTAGCTAGAAAACAAATAACAAAACAACCAAATAAAATCTGAACCCCAATTGAAATGAAATTTCTTTTTTTGCTTGTGTGTATTTGAAAAATTAACAGAAATGTTAATCAGGCAGGACTTTCAGTAGACCCTCCGGTGTGTTGTAGACTCCCCATAATTAGTTTTGGCTTCTTAGTTTGAAATGGCACATCTTTTTCAAATGTACTTAAAATCTTCTTTCATGAGAAACAATGTTATTTGACTTCTAGATTTGCTAATTGCCAAGCGTCAACTGAACGCCCTGTCGAGCTTTGTCACTAACTGCCAAGGATCAACTGAACGCCCTGTCGAGCTTTGCTAACTGCCAAGCGTCAACTGAACGCCCTGTCGATCTTTGCTTACTGCCAAGTGTCAACTGAACGCCCTGTCGAGCTTTGCCACTAACTGCCAAGGGCCAACTGAACGCCCTGTCGAGCTTTGTCACTAACTGGCAAGGGTCAACTGAACGCCCTGTCGAGCTTTGCCTACTGCCAAGCGTCAACTGAACGCCCTGTCGAGCTTTGCCACTTACTGCCAAGGGTCAACTGAACGCCCTGTCGAGCCTTGTCACTAACTGCCAAGGGTCAACTGAACGCCCTGTCGAGCTTTAAATTTGTCACTAACTGCCAAGGGTCAAATGAACGCCCTGTCGAGCTTTGCCTACAGCCAAGGGTCAACTGAACGCCCTGTCGAGCTTTAAATTTGTCACTAACTGCCAAGGGTCAACTGAACGCCCTGTCGAGCTTTGCTTACTGCCAAGTGTCAACTGAACGCCCTGTCGAGCTTTGCCACTAACTGCCAAGGGTCAACTGAACGCCCTGTCGAGCTTTGCCACTGTACTTGGATTTGGTGACATTTCAAACAATCTGAATTTTGAAATATAACTTCAATGGAAGATTAAACAATAAGAGAATAAATATTACACCAACAACATCTAAAGATTTATGGAAAAATTGAAATAAAAATGTGCAACAATTACCTCAATAGCAAGAGGAAAAGTAGAGCATCCAACACACTCACCACGTGACCTTTACAAATATATATATAATTACAATTGCGAGCAATAGCGGACGTCACCCCTCCCCTGCGAAGTACGAAGCCCTTTTTGTCACTAAACGAACACCGCAGTTGTGTTTTTAGTGAAATACTACACCTACATACCAAATATCATCAAAAGTGTACGATATTAAAATCTCGACCAATCAGAGGCCAGGAAATGGCAGCCATTTTGTCTAAATGTGAAACTGAGGTAAGGAACGTGACCGGTGTCCAATGATATACCTACATACCAGATTTCATGAAAATCAGACAATATTGAAATTTTGATAAATCAGAGGCCAGGAAACGGCAGCCATTTTGTTTTTTCACAGTTTTGTTCATAGTGCCATACTACACCTACATACCAAATTTCATCGAAATTAGACAATATTTAAATTACGACCAATCATAAGCCTGCATATATATATATTGTATAAGATCTCTTTATTGTTGTGGAGGTACTTGCATGATATTGAATACTCACATGATTCTATTTCTGACAAATCCAAAGACAGCTCGTCAGACTTCTGTACATAAAATGGGTAACCTTCCGCCTTCAGATGACCACCACACACGCTGACATTGGCTGTGTGCTCCCCTGGCTTATCGGGAGTGTAGAGAGCTTTGTAACAACCATAAGACTCGACACAGTCTTTAATCTTGGCATCCCAGGTTTTGCCTTTGGGGTCAACGATCGTCACATTGATATTGACCCCTTTTTCTCGAAGAAGTGTGTTTTGATTATCAAACAGGGTAATAGTAACAACGCTATCCTCTTTGCCATCACAAATGTCATTTGTTTCCACTTTGGTGTTTGGTAGGAATGCTGAAGTAGCTATCACGTCATCAACATCTGGAATAGACTTCATGGCGTCATCAGCACTACCACGTGGTACAAATTGTGTAGCACACGTTACAGGATTGCTGATCTTGCTAACATCTTTTCGAGACAAAGTGTAGACCCTTTGTAACACGGGATCCTTAACTTCTAAAAACTCTGCCGCCTCGCTGTGCGACAGGTGATCTTCTGCATATTTGCATGCCTGGTTCACGCGTTTATGCTGTTTCTGAATGTCGACAATGGTATTCGTTAGATTCTCTTCGTTGTTTTCACGTGCAATTTGAAGTCGAGTCTTGAGCTCCTTTTTACGGTTTTCGAGAGCATTTGTACACGACTCGAAATACTGCTCCAGTTCCTCGTCAGCTTGAATGTCTTTCTTCTTAACTCTTTTTCTCTCCTCCTCTAGTTTACTCATCTTATGCTTGATAGAATTAGACTGTTGCCTTAGGTGAATAAGATATCCCTCTAGCAGTCGTTTGTTTTCAACGTAAACATCGTTGATATCTCGAATGACATGTCCTTGACTTTCGGGATGGCTACTATCTACACAAAGCCTACACACAGGCTGATTGCATGTTGTCTTGGCACAGAAATTACCGAGTGAGTGGCCTTCATGGCCGGGTAACTGACATGTTGGTTTGTTGTGGAACGATTCTAGTGGTGCCGTTCGGAGTTTATCGAGACTTATCACTCCGTGCGCCTTGGTGAGTTTAGTCTTCTGGTGAGCCTGGCTGCATTCTAGACATAAAAACTCCTCACATTCTCTACAACGTGCGGTGGCTAATTCTTTACACTGATCACATACAAACTCAGTCGGAGTCTTTTTTATCAAGTATAAGTCCACCATATGTTTTTTCGAAGTGTCGACCGGGAACTTAGAGGTGTCTCTACCGTCATGCTGGAACGATTCTTGGCAATCGGGACAAATTATTTTGGAATGTCTTAAAGATTTTTTCAGACAAGATGAACAGCAAGAATGGAGGCAAGGCAACACATGTGGGATGTGCTCATATTTGCTGTAGAATTGTCTACAGGACACACACTTCACAGATTTGTCCATGTCTGTCAGTGATATCGAGCTCGGGTTTGTGATGTTAAACACTGTACCTGCATCGCGCTTACTGACTTGCCTTTTAGATGCCTGCAATGAAAAGGACAAGTTCAATAAGTGATAAAATAAAACAGAAAATAATTTAAAATATTTCTCGGAGGATGGGGAATCCCAGTGCTTTGTGTTGTATCTCCAGCGAAGAAGATTTCTTCTTTCGGTATTTTTTCTGGGGTGCTTCCATATAGTCATATGGTCTCTATAAAGTAGTGGTGGCGCTAATGCCTGTTAACATGAAGTCCTATGGTCTCTATAAAGTAGTGATGGCATCAATACCTGTTAACAGGAGTCCTATGGTCTCTATAAAGTAGTGATGGCATCAATGCCTGCCAACACGAAGTCCTATGGTCTCTATAAAGTAGTGGTGGCGCCAATGTCTCTTAGCAAGAAGTCCTATGGTCTCTATAAATAAGTGGTGGCACCAATTCCTGTTAACAGGAAGTCCTATGGTCTCTATAGATAAGTGGTGGCACCAATGCCTGTTTACAGGAAGTCCTATGGTCTCTATAAATAAGTGGTGGCACCAATGCCTGTTTACAGGAAGTCCTATGGTCTCTATAAAGTAGTGATGGCACCAATGCCTGTTAACAGGAAGTCCTATGGTCTCTATAAAGTAGTGATGGCACCAATGCCTGTTAACAGGAGGCACTATGGTCTCTATCAAGTAGTGATGGCACCAATGTCTGTTAACAGGAAGTCCTATGGTCTCTATAAAGTAGTGGTGACACCAATGCCTGTTAACAGGAAGCCCTATGGTCTCTATAAAGTAGTGGTGGCACCAATGCCTGTTAACATGAGTCCTATGGTCTCTATAAAGTAGTGGTTGCGCTAATGCCTGTTAACAGGAAGTCCTATGGTCTCTATAAAGTAGTGGTGACACCAATGTCTGTTACACACGTAAGATGAATGTAACAAATACCGAGATGATTAAAATGCACGTTTCTCTTACCACGGATCTTGATATCTGAGGTTTACCATTGGTAGATCGTACTTTTTCTGCTCTTTTCAACATGGCCATTACTTGTTGTTTATGTTATCTATACGTTTTGCTATATCTAGTGTTGTATTATAATTGTCTGAATAGTAAAGCGTGCCGATTTTGGTGTCGAAACTTTGACAAAGCCTACACCCTTGGGTAGAATATCCATATCACGGATACCTACATATGATAGATTTCTATTAGTCTTTGTACATGCCTGCATAAAATTATTAAATTGACAGTTAATTGAAAGTCACGTCACAAGTATCATTTCAAACCTTGTAGATGTATCAGAGGAGTACTTCCATTTCGTCCAAAGCTTACATATACAAAATAGTTGAAAGTCAAAGGTATCATATCCAACCTGTTCATAATACACAGTACTTAGTCCGAACAGAGATCTAGTCCAAGCAGAGATCTAGTCCGAACAGAGATCTAGTCCAAGCAGAGATCTAGTCCAAACAGAGTCCAAACAGAGATATAGTCCAAACAGAGATCTAGTCCAAGCAGAGTCCAAACAGATGATCTAGTCCAAAGCTTACACTTAGTAATGGTAGGCGGCTGTCGTCACTAACATGGACAAACGTTATGTTACCGTGCGATATCAAGTCATCTCGTGTATCAAGGATAGGTTTTACGGGTTAACGATTTCTCACGTCTTGTGTATGTTGACGTAGCAATATGAGTGAACATGCTGTCAAATTATTTATCAGTCAATCTTCTGGTCCATTGGTTCCCAATAAATACAATGTTATGTTGTGTGTAGGTATGAATTGTCGTACTCACATACTACGACTTCTGATGTGCCTGTAGTTATTCTATATGTACTTATAAATATTGTATAATGAAGTTAACGACTCCCTTTAGCTCCAAACTAAAACTAAAAAGCGGAAACAAACACAAACAGCAAAGACGTTAGCGAAGACACATAAAGCGTCGTTGTCATGGTGATAAAGTGTCTATGATATTGACACTTTATTATAGTATAGGTACACGTGGAACAATGACTCTATAGTTACAAGCTATGAACCTGTGGCGTCATTATTAAGCATGGCATATTGCTTGAATGTGAAATCGATTATAAAAACATTGATAACAGAGGGCGAACGGGAGCGGTGTTTATAACATAATTGAGTGATATTTAATTTGGTTGATTAATTCTACTAATCACATAAACAGCGTGCAACGGGTGGAATTTAAATTTATCATTAACGAAAATCAAAACAGTATACAGTAGCGAGTGATTGTCCGAGCCATACGGGTAAACATATAAACAATTGGGAAAATAGGTCGTTTGGAGAAACGTAAAAACAAGCTTTTAAGTAAGGGAAACGACCAAATTAAGTTTGCATAAATGAAAGTACGGATAATCTGGTTTCAGATGATCGGCTTTCTACTGTAATATACATCACTTCAAAATGCCTACAAAATTTCACTTAATATGTTCATGAAATAACCGTGTTTCTCCCAAAACGTGTTTCATTCCATTTAGGAGTAAATTAGTGAGGCATTTCAATATGTTTAAACGGGATTAAATCGTTAAAAGTAAATAAAGTTTAAGTTAATCCAATAAATTCTGGTTAAAAAGTTTTTCGAAAATACGAATTATTTATCAATTCTACTGTAACCGAAAACATAAAAATAAATAAGTTGTTATTTGAATCAAAACTGAAAAGAATGATTCATATCTACCCTAAAACAGCAGGCGGAACAATGTGTTCTGGGTAAGTATTTCCTTACCGTAGTGAGAGATGATTATATACAATGTGTACATAGTGAGAGATGATGTATATATATACAATGTGAATGTAGTGAGAGATGATGTATATATATACAATGTGTACGTAGTGAGAGATGATGTATATAAATACAATGTGTTGGTAGTGAGAGATGATGTATATATATATAATGTACGTAGTGAGAGATGATGTATATATATAATGTGGTCGTAATGAGAGATGATGTATATATAAAATATGTACGTAGTGAGAGATGATGTATATATATAATGTGGTCGTAATGAGAGATGATGTATATATAAAATATGTACGTAGCGAGAGATGATGTATATATATAATATGTGAATGTAGTGAGAGATGATGTATATATATAATATGTGAATGTAGTGAGAGATGATGTATGTATATAATATGTGAATGTAGTGAGAGATGATGTATATATATACAATGTGTACGTAGTGAGAGATGATGTATATAAATATAATGTGTTGGTAGTGAGAGATGATGTATATATATACAATGTGAATGTAGTGAGAGATGATGTATATAAATACAATGTGTTGGTAGTGAGAGATGAGGTATATATATATAATGTACGTAGTGAGAGATGATCTATATATATAATGTGGTCGTAGTGAGAGATGATGTATATATATACAATGTGTTGGTAGTGAGAGATGATGTATATATATACAATGTGTATGTAGTGAGAGATGATGTATATATATATATACAATGTGTTGGTAGCGAGAGATGATGTATATATATAATGTGGTCGTAGTGAGAGATGATAGATATATATAATATGTACGTAGTGAGAGATGATGTATATATATAATATGTACGTAGTGAGAGATGATGTATATATATATAATATGTACGTAGTGAGAGATGATGTATATATATAATGCACGTAGTGAGAGATGAAGTATTTTATATAATGTACGTAGTGAGAGATGATGTATATATATATATAATATACGTAGTGAGAGATGAGGTATATATATATATAATGCACGTAGTGAGAGATGATATATATATATATAAAATGTGTAGAGAGAGAGAATGTATATATATATATATTGTACGTAGTGAGAGATGATGTATATATATATAATGTACATAGTGAGAGACGATGTATATATATATAATGTTCGTAGTGAGAGACGATGTATATATATAATGTACGTAGTGAAAGATGAAGTAATTTATATAATGTACGTAGTGAGAGATGATGTATATATATATATATAATGTACGTAGTGAGAGATGATGTATATATATTTAATGTACGTAGTGAGAGATGATGTATACATATATATATATAATGTACGTAGTGAGAGATGATGTATATATATAATGTACGTAGTGAGAGATGATGTATATATATATAATGTACGTAGTGAGAGACGATGTTTATATATATAATGTACGTAGTGAGAGACGATGTATATATATAATGTACGTAGTGAGAGACGATGTATACATATATATATATAATGTACGTAGTGGGAGATGATGTATATATATATAATATACGTAGTGAGAGATGAAGTAATTTATATAATGTACGTAGTGAGAGATGATGTATACATATATATATATATAATGTACGTAGTGAGAGACGATGTATATATATAATGAACGTAGTGATAGACGATGTATACATATATATATATGATGTACGTAGTGAGAGACGATGTATACATATATATATATATAATGTACGTAGTAAGAGACGATGTGTTTGTAGAAATAATGAAACAATGTAAGTACAGAGTATAAATATGTATATAAATTATGTTTAAAAATAGAGTAAGTGTTTATACAATGTTTAATTTATTGATAGCTGATATTACGACTTGTATCGCTGAGAACTATACAATAAACATATACATGTATATCAATACTTTGACATATGGTATATACATAATATTAAAAATAGGGCACTGTTAATATATTTGATATAACAAAATACAGATAAAAATATTTCAGACACGTAAAATACCTTAGAGTAACAAAGTAACTCACCATAATGCCACTTCTTGTGTATAGGATCAAACACGTTCTCCGAGCCCGCAATCGGTTATGACGTGTATCTGGTGATACTTAACTCCAAACATATAGTATTTGATCACACGGGAACGTAAACTCTTATCAAATAAATTTCATTTGAGGCTAAATACATTTAAATGATATACATCATTCGGTTCGATTTTGTTGACAAGTAAATTGACTTTGAATAGCAGGTTGAAACGTGAAATTGGATTTAATGAATATAAATATATCATCCATGCATGACAAAACATCTAATAAAGACGTATATACATGTAGTTCTGTCGTTTTCTGTCTCATTTACATCTATACAACCTTTACATGTGTTGAAAATTGATTGGATAGTTCAGGCTTATACAGTTCAAATGGTTTAGTACTAAGCTATGAGTTCAATTTAGATTTATGTATGTGTGTTCAGCGAGAGTTTCCAAAAGAGCAGCTGAAGTAAAACCTTATTATATTGCCACCATTTATTCAGAAAACTAAATTGGCGTTATAAAGGGATGTTGGCGATATAAAGAGACACACATGTAAAAACATTATAAAAGGAAAAGGAAAATGTCTTGGTAAAGAAATCAAAAACCGTAATAAATAGAATATTCTTGGTTTCTTCTTAAATGACATCAATCTTTCAATCGGCGGTGGAATAAACATACATGTACTCGTGAAATTGATCTGTTATTCATAAAGAAACAAAGAATACCATTTAATTCATAATTATTACAGTAGCATTGCTTTATAAGTGCCTAGTCGTCCCACTAGCAAAAAAGAACATATTCCGGGACATATACTTTAAAACGAAACTTATTTCATCACTACATCAACCAAAAATTGCAGTTATATAATTACCTTAGATGAGACAACTCAGACTATGAGTTATATAGAAGTGCCGGCCTATAGGATATACACCTTAGGTTATAGGAGTGCCGGCCTATAGGATATACACCTTAGGTTATAGGAGTGCCGGCCTATAGGATATACACCTTAGGTTATAGGAGTGCCGGCCTATAGGATATACACCTTAGGTTATAGGAGTGCCGGCCTATAGGATATACACCTTAGGTTATAGGAGTGCCGGCCTATAGGATATACACCTTAGGTTATAGGAGTGCCGGCCTATAGGATATACACCTTAGGTTATAGGAGTGCCGGCCTATAGGATATACACCTTAGGTTATAGGAGTGCCGGCCTATAGGATATACACCTTAGGTTATAGGAGTGCCGGCCTATAGGATATACACCTTAGGTTATAGGAGTGCCGGCCTATAGGATATACACCTTAGGTTATAGGAGTGCCGGCCTATAGGATATACACCTTAGGTTATAGGAGTGCCGGCCTATAGGATATACACCTTAGGTTATAGGAGTGCCGGCCTATAGGATATACAC